CCCCCCCCCCCCCCCCCCCCCAAAACTTTCTTAAGTAGAAAAAATGATGTGAGGTAGAGCAGGACTGCAACTCCTCGTTACCTGTTCGGCAGTGCTCCTCTTAGGGCACCTTGGGACGAGAAAGGCCCTTCTCTTTGGTCTCCATGTTCTATCTGTAGTGTATCAACCTGACCCTGCTGCTGTATTTGACAACATAAATAATTTCCCCATACATTTAAGTGGATATATTTTCTAATTTTTCTTCCTGTGAGATACAAAGCCTTACCCTTATTGAAATAATACTGTATTAGAGGATTTTTCATCTAGTTTAGCAAAGGAAGTACTCATCATTAATGCTTTTCCGTTCTGTCCTCAGACCAACAGGAATTCCTGGAAGCAATGAGCCGTACAACCTGGGAATGGTGACAACCCACGGGCTAGAGACTTCCCATGCAGATACGTTTAGCAATATTTCAAGGGAAGGGACTTTAATGGTGAGGGAGGTAAGTTGTAAAACAAGTATTTCCATGGAGCATCTTCAGGAGGTTTTGCCCATGTAAGCACAAAAACTAACAGTGCTGTGTGTTCGGAACACAAAATGACTGAGTAAATTGTGCTCCTTAGCGCTCTCGTTAATACAATTTACACTCGGAGCAAATGTGACAAGTGCAAATGTTTCTCAGAACTACAAACAGCAGTGAATAGTAATGCCAGGGCATGGCGGGGAGGATGCTCGTACAAATTACTCTGCCGTAATCCCACAATAGCTCCAGGCAACAGAAGTTATCTTCAGTTTACAGCATTTAGCTGATACACTTGGAACCTGGCCCAAAGTTTCCCCTCTTCTTCCCAACCTTTGCCACCGTGTAACCGTCAGAGGCGTGCAGTGTTTGTATAGCATTTGGAGGCTTTTACCAGGGGCTGGTCCTGCTCGGGGAGGGCCCAGCCCTCCTCCCCAGCAGCCAGCCGTCCTGCGCTTGCCCAGGAGCCAGCTGCAGGGTGCACTGGGCATCCCACATGGATGCGAGCCCCCGTCCCCAGCTCCGGCCTTGCGGAGGTAAGGCTGCAGTGGGAGCAATCCTGATTGGTGGTACTGCAGGAGTGAGGCAGAGGAGGCACGTTCAGTTGGCTGTGGAAGATCTCCCCCGGTGTTTCTCAGTTTCTTGGTTGCTGGAACATGCTGGCAATGCTGCTGGAAATGCAGACGGGTAGCAGGTCTCCTGGTGAGGGGGCAGGAGGCTCTGGCAGTTAGTAAAACAGGGGAGTCACTCTCCTGCCGGCATGTAAAGGAGGTGGATGGGAGAGGAGGAGGAGGGAGGGAAGGTTGGAGTCAGCAATCATAAAGGAGGAATGTTTAGATCAAATGCAAACTAGGCTTGAGCAGCATTTTAATTATTAATTCCATTTATATAAAATACTCATATATGAAGGGGGAAAAAAAAAGAATACAACTTTGAAAGAGAGGAAGGAGTTAGCAAAAGAAGTTGCAGCATATTTGCTGCCTTCCTCCACAAGTTTCGGAGCTGGGCAGCAATGCATAGCCCACCTAACCCATCACTGACATGGAGCTGTTCAGAGCAGGGATCCCCACAGCCTGGGCAGCCCTCTGCGCATCCTTGTAGCAGTGAGGGTGATGCGGTTGAGCAGGAGAACAAGTCACTGCTATAACAGGCAGCCATTTCTGAAATGAGCTTGGTGTTAAGCATCACAACTGTAGAACACATGCCACACCAGCAAGGCCGTTTGAGAACACAGTGATGCAGAAGGGTTTAAAAGCCACAGGTGAGACAAGCAACTGGGAAACTCCTTTGGGAGGAGGGAGCGTGATAAGAAACCCAAACTGCAGCCTCTTGCTGAGTGCTATTGTTTGCTCACCACCACCACCGTAGCCATCAGAGGACAGACTCACTGAGGTCAGTGGGCTTTGGGCAATGGGCTTTTCGCTCATTGGCGGGATGGCAAGGTGGTTCAAGGTGATGGTAACGAGTGATCAAAAGACAAATGTTGTCAGGACTGATCAGAAACTTGGTGAGCCTATTCAGAAGGAGTCTTCCACTAATCCCAGTAATTGGGCAAGTCTCTGTAACGATCTCGTTGATGTGCTCCAGGTAGGTGGGATTCATCAAAATGGCAAATATCTCAAAACGATAGGTAGGGAAGGGAGAAACTTCCCAGCACCTGCCTTGCACAAGCTGGGGATGGAGAGGAAGGGGAGCCCCGGGGAAGCCCCGGGAACCTTGTGCGCAGAGCAAGATGCCAATTGTTCTGCCGATGCTGCCGCTGTTCACTGCTGTTTTGGGTTACAGAAACATGCAACGGGGGCTGTGTTGGCATTTGCAGTCAGGCTACTCACCGCCGTAGCTGTGCAAAGCTGTTACGGCTAATGCTGATCGAGGGGTCAGATTCTGCTGTCACTATGGTTGGTGGCTGCAGGGGAGGAGAGCTGGCCATGGGGTTTGCACCCATGGTGGCAAGAGCAGAATCTGCCCTATGTTCCTTGTCTCAAAACAACGGTGATCAGGCTTCTCTCGCTGTAACGTGGCTAATGACTCTGTATTGACTTTGTGATTAATCCTGTCTTTAAATTCTCCTGGGGCGGGGGGGTTGGTTTGCTGCTTGCCGGATTGCATGGGGATGGAAACAGAGAGGGTCCTTCTCCTGCGCTGGCTCTGGGAACTGGGGGACTGCCAACGACTTGGTTTTGTTTGGTTTTTTTCTCTCCTTTCTCTCTTTTTTCCCCCCTTCTCTTTCTTCTTCATGCCTTGTGTCTCTGCAGACCTCTGGTGAAAAAAAGCGTTCTGGCCACGCAGCCAGCAATGGCTTTGCAGGTCACATCAATCTACCTGACCTGGTGCAGCAAAGCCACTCGCCTGCGGGCACACCGACCGAGGCCCTGGGGCGAGTCTCCACGCATGCGCAGGACATGGACTCGGTGCCTGAAGTAGGTGCTGGGGGGCTCCTCTTTCTCCTTTGCATCGCTTTAAACAAGTATTAACATCTCTGCCCCGTAAAAGGGCTTTCCTGCTTTCCTCCCTGGCTTTCTTGGCTCTTCTCTCTCTTTGTTTCTGGTCCATGTGGGTGAGTGTAGTGGAAATGAAATACAAGGGAATCTGATGGGTTATTCCTGTGGCTGATGGTAGAAATTTATATTAGGTCTTCTCTCAAGCCCACCAGCTGGAGTTTTGGTGGTGATGGCTTGAATGCTGCCAACTGATGTGACAGTCCCCATTGGGGTTTTTTTTGCACTTGGAAATAAGAGAAAATTATGAGAGCCAGAGATGCCATTAACTTCAGTTGGGCCCAGCTTCCACCTGTGCGATCTCTGATACTTAACATGACTCAAAAGGTTAGCAAAAACCAAAGTCAACAAAATTCTGGATAGTTCTTCACACTAGCAAAAATCTGCACACCTTTAAAATTGTGTGTTTCCAGTCATGGCAAAGTATTTCCCCCTGGCAGCTGTTTTACAGGGACACTATTGAACATTAACATTGTATAAGGTGTAAAAAGTCTAGAAAGTACAAGATGTGACACATAAGACAAGGGAATTGGTGTTTCTTGCTTACTATCACCAGCTGTGGGAATCAGGCACAATTCGCTTTTTTCCCCGTGAAAAATCAGCCCATTTGGTGCTAAATAAGCTATTTTATTTAGTTTTTTCTTTTCATTTTGTTGGTTATACATCAAAAGTTCTGTCATCATATTCTCTTTCATAGAAATGATGTACTCATTTTACAGTTTACTTTTACTAGCAGTATAAAAATAAAAATTGCTTGGAATTGGGCATTGATAAAACGTAAAAACAGATGGTGCGTGACTTGACCTCAAGGTTTTATCTGTTTCCTCATTGCCTTTAAAAGCAGTGATGAGAGAGTTGATCCTGAAAGTAACACCTTCCACGGTCATCCTGGGACTGCTTAAACACAGGCAGACAGTATGCAAAGATTGGGTTTAAATATATTCATTTATAGAATACCAACCAAGATGATCTTTTCCATTTCTAAAACTGCATTTTTAGGGCTGACTGAGCCGGGAGTGGGTGTAAGTGGAAACTTGGGGATTTAGTTCTCAGGCTTCCAGGTGACTCATGGTGCTGCGAACAAAAAGAAGGGAGCAAGCACGACCTCACCCTGCAGCTTGATGCTGTCTCTGTAGGCCACCACGGAGATTTCCTCCAGGACCTGGAGGAAGATGAGGTCTTAACATTTAAATAAGGGACTTGGAAGTTGTTAAAGTGCCAGCTTCTTAGGAGAATAGCTGAATCTGAGCAAAGAAAAGAAATGCTCGGTGCATTGGAATGAGGTGTTTCTTCGTAATGCATTTGTCGGAAAGCACCTGCCCCTCAGCTGGAAGGCATCCCTGTAAATACTGAATTTTTCCCCTCCTTGAATTGTTGGTGCTTTATGGAAAAGGCATCCAGTGCAGGAAAAGAAATGCGTATTTCTTGGATGTGAAAGAAGCATAAAGTAATGAGTTTATCTTACATGCACACACAAATATCATGGCGTACCGTGTATGTAAATGTGATATCTGTTCCTGCAGCCTTCCCTGCCTCAGGCTGTTAACTCCTTCCATGGGTCTCGGTTACTATGTACTTTCTGGAAATCCATCCCATTTCTATGGAAACAGGCGGGTTCTCAGGGATATAGAGATGGGAGGGAAGCGGGATGCGCAGCATGGTTTTGGCAGGCGCAGGGCATGGATGCCAGCTCGCCCGTGGATGCCAGCCCCAAAACGCTTGGAAAGTTTTTGCTCCTAAACCTTTTCGTCACCCACCGGAGGACAGGTACGAGCCCAACCCAGTTTCGGTACAGATGTGCCAGGGTGGTGGTGTTCCCCATGGCACATGTTCCTGCGGCACGGGCTTGTCCCCATGGTAGTTGTCCATCCAGGGGCTGTGGCAGTGGCATTGGGCGCAGGGAGCAGCCTGGGCTCTGGTGACTCGGTGATGTGAAAGCTGAGAAAGATTTATTTCAGGGAAGGAAAATGTCCTGAGGAAGAAAAGTGTGAGCAGTACTGTTGCTGCAGAAGGACTTGGGTTTTGCTGCTGTTACAGCTCGTAACAGAGGTCATACATAAAGCATATCCTGGGTAAATACTGGAGTAGGAAAATAAGCTGCTCAACGTGGGGGGAAAATCACATCACTTTGATTCCCAAGGCAGGGATTTCCTTTTTCCTGGGAGAAGGTCTTAGCCCTGTTTTCTGCCTTAACAAAGCAATGGCTTTAAAAAGAAAGCAATGCGATGTTGCAGTTTGTTCCTCTCCAAATTCCCTTGGCAAAGTATTGGCTCTGACATTCCCTGTGATACCTTCAGGTTAAGTTTTGGTAGCTTAGAAACGGCCCTTTCTGCAGTCCCACCTGAAATGCTGTAGATAATTTAAAACACTTTACTGAAATTGCAAGCGACCTGTGTGTGATGCCCCCATGAGGTGTGCTGAAGACCAGACTTTGGCGGGGATGGAGCAATGTGGGAGATGCCATCTTCAGATGAGCTTGAGTATCCGAGGCATTTCCAAACACCCCCTGTTCAAAAGCTTTCCTTAAAGCATTGCATAGCTCACCCCAAGCCTTCCCCATCTCCAGCACTTAAGATCCTCCTAAAACAGGAGCAGCCAGGCATACTGAGGGGCATTGCTGGGTCCTGCCTCAGTGATAGGTGTGAGGACCAGCGATAACAGCCCAGCAGAACGAAAAGTAGACATTTTGCTGAAGAGCTGACTTCACCCACTTTCCCAGGGGCATCAATGTTTTGGGCTTAGCCCAACGAACCCCTAGATAACGGGCAGCAAAAGTAGAGCGGTATTACGGCCGTACGAGCTCTCCTGCCTATGCTTTACAGGTCCTAAAATAGATTTCCATGACCTGTTGAAATAAAATCTTTGCTCAGACTGTGCTAGTTAGCGTTTGGCTTTGGCACAAGGAAAGCAACAGTCCCACCTTTTCCAGCTCTGAATTACTCCAGTGGTCGCTGGTCCGTGTCAGCTGCCCCATGCCAGGGCTTTCCGGGGGCTCCCAGCGCCATCCTGCCAAGCTCAGCTGCAAGGTGGGAGAGTGGGAAAAGCAAACTCTCACCTGCCTGACATCGCAGAGCGGGCTTTTAAGACAGGTGTGTTACGTGCAGACAAGTTGGTTTTTACCTGCATTGACTTTTGCCTCTGGCCCTGCGGCTTCTCCGCTAACCGGTCTCATGGCTGTGCTGTGCTTCTGCCTGCGAGACGAGAGCAGAGCCGGGCCCTGCTCCTCTCATTTTCTGTTGCTCATGGACACTCACAAATCCAATTTAATGTTTTTCCTGATTAGTTATGGGGGAGGAGGAGCAAATGTTCATAGAGGGCTCAAAAAGGGCATCGCAGGGGCAGGCACTGGGTCTGCTAATTAGAAAGTCTTACATACACACACATACACAAAATTATTGTTATTTCAGTGCTCTGAGCTCCCTCTTTGCTGTTTATTTTCCAGTATGGTATGGGAAGTAGCACCAAAGCCTCTTTCACCCCCTTTGTGGACACCAGAGTGTATCAGACCTCACCTACTGATGAAGATGAAGATGAGGACGAAGAGTCATCTGCTACTGGTAGGAGGCAATGGGGCCAGTTTGAGAGGGGAGGGCCTCGTGGAAACCAGGTCATGGAGCCTGAATAACCCCACTGAACCTCTTCTACATTTCACTTACTCTTGTCCTAACATTGCTCGTGTCTGCATCCTTGTGCTCTCCAGTTTCCAACTTCTTCTCCCCCAGCAGTGAAACGCCACCAGAAAGGTCCAGGAGAAAACAGAGAACAGCAGAAATCCACCCACCTGTCTGCCTGGGCAGCCGGGAGAAACGCTCTTGGCAGAACTGGGAGGTGGTAATCGCTCCAAAAAGCTGGCAGTTGCTCAGAAGCCATTGAAAATGGCTGGATGTGGGCAGGCGGGCAGCAAATAGTGCTAGTCAGCTCAGTAGGCAGGGCTAGAGGTCTGGGGTCATCACCTGCTGACGGGTTTGGTGGTGGTTCCAACCCACAAGAAAATCCTGATGATCCCTCTTCAAACTAATAGATGATCCCTCTTCAAACTAATAGCTCGTAACATAGTAATGACATCAGAAAATAAACCAAGTATTGTCTTCCTATTCCAAAAAAAAACCTGACAGAAAGAGGTACATACAATTAATCCATCACACCTCACTGTTTTGTTGTGTTTGCTTGCAAGCCCTGTTCACCAGCGAGCTGCTCAGACAGGAGCAGGCCAAGCTGAACGAAGCCCGGAAGATCTCGGTGGTGAACGTCAACCCCACCAACATCCGTCCCCACAGCGACACCCCGGAGATCAGGAAATACAAGAAGCGCTTCAACTCGGAGATACTTTGTGCTGCTTTGTGGGGTAAGCCCCTTATCACGCCATGCCCTCAGCAAAGCTCTCCAGAGCGTGTGGCTGGCGATGAAACATGAATGTGTTATCACAGAACCGAGCCCCTGCCTCTGGTTGTCCCCTTCTCCATCCTGGGCAAGGCTAATGTCCCCGAGTCCCTGCGCTGTAAGAGTGACTCTTCATGTTCATGGGAAGATCACAGCCTTAGCTGGGATCAGTCACTCTCTCAGTGGTGGCAGAGACGAGCTTGGGGTGTTGTCCTTGGGAGCAGCCATGGCTCCTGGTGCCCATTGCCCTCTCCTCTTCAGGTGTGAATCTGCTAGTGGGCACAGAAAATGGCCTGATGCTGCTGGATCGAAGCGGACAAGGGAAGGTCTACAACCTGATCAACAGAAGGCGATTTCAACAGATGGACGTACTCGAGGGTCTTAACGTCCTTGTGACAATATCAGGTACGCCTCTTGTGCTCTCACCTCATCGTTAACCTTCTTGGCCATATTCTTGAGCAGTTCCAGCTCAGACAAAACCTGCGCACCGCTGTCAGAGGGAAGCTCCCAGGGGAGGTTGGAGGTGGTTTATTCCAGAATCAAAGGCGTTAGGTCTGCAAGAATGCCTCTGAGAGCAATTTGCTCCTGTTGCCTGCCAGCTCCGCTTCATCTGCAACACTCCATCCTCCTTCAGCAGGGAACGAAAGGTGCAAAATACAGGCAGGTACCCCGGCAAGGTGGGTAGTCACGGCTTGAGGGGGCAGTGAGCTCTGCTTTTGGGTCTCTTCGGCTCTAGCCAAGGAAGCCATGAACCATGGCTTCAGGGCTGCAGCTCAGACCATGGCTGTGCTCGGGGTCCCCCGAGCATCGTGAGGGCCATGGGCTTGTCACTGTCCCCGGGCTCAGCCAGGAGCTCCGGAGCTCTTGAATCAGGCTCATGGGGTGATTTCTGGGCTCTGCTTTCCATTCCTTTTTTCCCAAGAAAAAAAAAAAAAACAATTGAATTGCTATTTTCAACTTCATTGTGAAACAAACTTTATCATCTTGTGAGCGAAAATAAGCACTGAAATCTCAAGATGTTCCATGCACACGTGCACTGCTCTGACAGGGAAGTTTCCTTTGCCAACAGGAAAGAAGAACAAGCTGCGCGTGTACTATCTCTCCTGGCTGAGAAACAGGATTTTACACAATGACCCTGAAGTGGAGAAGAAGCAGGGCTGGATCACAGTTGGGGACCTGGAGGGATGCATCCACTACAAAGTCGGTGAGTGGCCTCTCCAGAAAAAAATGTCTGGAAGGATGCATTTTTCTTCTCTAGTCTTAGATCTGACCTGACAATTTCTCTTAAAAGTATGGGTAGACCACAGCCACAAAGAAATTTAATACTCATCTATATGTATTAGGTGGACACTTTACCAAATGAGAACCAACAGATAGCCTGAGAAGCTGTTCCTGGAGATAAGTTGTTCAGTCTTGTTGGAAAGAAAGTGAATGTTTTAAAAATTGGTTTTATTTTTATTTTAGTGAAATATGAAAGAATCAAGTTCTTGGTGATTGCCTTAAAGAATGCTGTAGAGATCTACGCTTGGGCTCCTAAACCATATCATAAGTTTATGGCATTTAAGGTATGTTTATCTTTTAACCAGAATACACTTTGTAATTGTAAATACATGAGATTTCTGTACTATGCAGAGCAGAAAAGCATCTTGCTTACGTAGCTGAGCTCCTCGGGATACCTGACAGGCATGGGAGATGGGATACATTCTGGCTGAAGAGATGGGATACATTCTGCTTATGGCTAGCAATTAAGCGTTAATATTAGCTTATGTTGGCAGGCTTTACTTGGAAAGTTTGCAGAAAGCTGACCAAGTGTCCATGAGTAAAATTGAGTTGGGGTTTTTTTTGGGGGGTGGGGGGGGGTGGGGGGTTAACTTCTGATTAATTTTTCACATATAGTATGAAAACAGGTTGGCATTATTTTCCATTTTTATTTTGCAAGGTCCTCTCCCCTTCTGCAATGTGGATTCTGTTTCAAGACAGAAAGTCCAGGAGAATGACCCACTCTTTCTCTTTTTCTCTCTCTTTTCATCTACCTCAGTTTCCTTCAGTGAGACCTTTCTCCTCTATAACCTGCCAACGGGTATTTTGTACTTAGTACTTTAAAGCTCTTTTCATCCTAAGCTCGGTGCAGAGACAAGTCACAAGGCGCAATGCCTTCTGGAGACATTCATGCCGAGTAATCTCATTTTGCACCCTTCCAGCACAAATGGGCTTATTCAGTATTAGGTCACATTTGTTTTTTCTGAACAAAAGCCAGAATAAATGGGCTCAGTAGCATGGAGAGCTCAGCATCATTAAAATAGCCTGGGATCCAGCCTCCGCCAGCTCTGGTGAGGGCGCTGGTTAGTGCTCCTGGTGCTGCTCCTCCAGTCTCGGGGGGCTGAGCATCCTTTACTTGCCTTGTAGGCAGGGATCTGTCAGGATGGTGGGAAATACCACTCACTGATTTTCCCTGTCAGGAGTCAGAGTGGTCCTTGCACAGAGAGCCAGGAGCCCTTTTCTCTCCCTGGGGGTGTTCACCCTCCTGCTGAGGACCTAAGCCATGGAGAGATACTCTGTCCTGGATCGGTCCATGCCAGGGAGCTGGTCCCAGCCTGCATCCAGCAGGTTAGATTGAACAGGAATAAGTAGGTCTTTGCTAATGTAACTCATTTCAGCTGCCCAAACCGGAGCGGTGATCCCTGCCAAGAGAGGAGGTGGGTGGTCACAGCTCTCTGCAGACTTTGATCTTGTTACCCTGAGCAGCACCAGCATCAGGCAGTCCCCACACGCTGGCTGCACGCGTGCTCATGTAAAATTGAGCTGTCACCTTCCTTTAGAGTCCAAATCCTCAGGCTGGCCTTGGGCTCCTGGGGGAAAAGAGCTGTGTTTGGCAAGGGTGAGCGCTTATCTGCTGGGATGGCTGGAGCGAGTGGGTAATATCCTCTGAGGCATCTGACATAGGAACAGAGAGACAGGAACATAAATAACCACATATTTAGTAGGAGAAACAGTCAAACAAACATGATTTCAAAACCGTGTAACGCTGCTGCTATGGGGATTTGTTGGTTTTCTGTGATACTCACTGAAGGGATTATAAAAGTCTTTTGCAGATCTCCAGCACAAGCCGTTGCTCGTGGATCTCACTGTAGAAGAGGGTCAGAGACTCAAGGTTATCTTTGGATCACACACTGGTTTCCATGTGATTGATGTAGATTCTGGGAACTCTTATGATATCTACATACCATCTCACGTGAGTACACAGGGGAGTGCTGCTGCATGGCTAATGCCGGTCACCAGCAAGGTTTGGATGGGCCCTTGGTGGTCTTAGAAATGGTGACCAGTCAGGTGACATCTTGCCATGGGTATGACATTATCTGGTGCCATCTTCATTGATACTTGCTTAAAGAGGACTCGGAGGTATCACATACTTCATGTTCATTATTCGCTCAGGCTATTTCTGTCCTCGAGCCCAAGCAATCAGGCTTAAGGTTGCCATGTCCCACAGAAAGGAAAATCTGTCCATAGGCTGCGTGGAGTGGTAATGGAGCTCTCTGTAGGGCAAGGTAACATGAAACCTGGTTCTTGGTTTTTGGACCACATAGCCCCACCAAGAGCTGGATGCCCAGCGCACTGTCCCATTGCACGGTGTCCCAGATGTGCTCACCAGCGCTTACTTGTTCCTGCTGAGGCAGTATAGTTTGCCCAGGCAAGGGTTGCAGGATTAAGGTAGCCCAAATCTCAGTAAGCCTGCTGCTCAAAACTCCCAAACTCCCTGACAGCAGGGACTCACCACAGGACCTCTCTCAGCTCCATCAGCTATTTCAAGAGAGAGCCAGTGCTACAAAAAATACTGTAGATGAGGATTTTCTTGTTGGCTTATTTAAGCTCCATCCATGCTGTTGGCCCAAGCAGCATGAGAAACTGGTCTAGGAGAAACGGGGGCACTAATCAAATCCAGGAACTGCTGAATCTGATCTGAGCCGCAGAGCTTCCTCTGTGAGAGCTGGCAAGAATTGTAGGGAGAAATACTGGGGCGGTTTGGGATAGTTTTGTTGTCTTAGCTATGGAAAGGCAGACATGGGTGGAAAGTCACTGTAGCTGCCCTTGGAGCTAGAGACTGATTGCTAAAAAAAAATGGGAATATTTACTCCCTAGGGCTGCCTGTAAAATTCTGGGTTTATTTGCCTTAATTTGAATAAGAGATGGATTCAGCAGTCACTTATTTGTGTTACAGCCAAGTGTCAGCCGTCAGTCTCGGGGGCTTGTGTTGTGATCTCTCTGTAATTGCTGAACCTGTTTATCCTTGACGTATCAGACAGCTTTGATGGTAGGGTAAACATGACAGTTTATTCCCCTTCCAGCTTATCTCTGAAAGCCAATGCCTGTTTGTTGAATCGAGGGAGGGTTTTGTCCTCGGGTTGGTTTGGGGTTTTGTGTTTCTAAGGCTCTGCTCCTTCCCCCTACCCCTTTCTCCTTTCAGTGTAATTCTGACTTTTAGCGTTTATTTTAACTGCAGATTCAGGGCAATATTACTCCTCACGCCATTGTCATCCTGCCTAAAACAGATGGGATGGAGATGCTTGTGTGCTATGAGGATGAAGGCGTATATGTGAACACCTATGGACGGATAACTAAAGATGTGGTGCTCCAGTGGGGAGAAATGCCTACTTCCGTGGGTAGGTCAACCCTTCCTCTTCACCTGCATAAAATACAAATGACAAGTAAGATGAGGAGTCGAGGATGCTGAGATGGAGTCATTTGGGCTTTTGTTTATCAAAGGAGATTTCTCTCAGCCACATAAGAGATGCAATTGCTAAATTTCTACGATTTGGTCCTGTGCAATAAGAGCAAATCTTGAAGATTTGAGCTCTGGTTCATCTTAAGTATAAGATAAGTGTAAGATAATATAAGCTGTTGCACTGGTGGGATACTGTGTTGAGTGGAAGAGGGGCTGAGTGTGGAGCTGGGAGCGCTTGGGTTGATCTTCTGGCTCTGCTGTTGCTCAGCTCCACAGCCCATGGAGGCAAGCCACTGCCCAGCTCCTCGCCCACAGAAATCGGAAGAAGTTATACTTCTTCTGTTTAAATTACTCAGCAATTTCTGGATGAAAAGTGCTATGCAGAGGCTATTATCCCTGCGGGCACACGCCTGGCCGCCTGTGCCTCCGGCAGTCAGAACTCTGCCATTGATCTACATAAGCTTTGAAAAACAGCTGATGAGAGCTTTTCTGCCTGTTGCGTAATATTTAGCTCAACACACGTTGTAACACCTACCAAATGCTTCCTTTTGACAGCCTACATTCATTCCAATCAAATAATGGGCTGGGGAGAGAAAGCTATTGAAATCCGATCAGTGGAGACGGGACATTTGGATGGAGTATTTATGCACAAGCGAGCTCAAAGGTTAAAGTTTCTATGTGAAAGAAATGATAAGGTAAGTCCACTTCAAAGCTTGCATCCATGCTTTAAGCTACAGCCAGCTGCTACTTAGACTTTGGTTTATCTTGAGGTTCATAATTAATCTGAAGGTCCTGTTTAATAAGCAGTGCCTATAAACCCACTCCCGATTAATTCTCTCCAGTGGATGCAGACCTCAGCTTGTGGTGGGAAGATCTGCAAGATCTCTTCCACCTCAAGCTGAGATCTCCGTTGACTTGGCTTGCCTTTCTCCCAAGTCTTGCATCTGAACATTAACTATTGAGGCTGCCAAGTAAACTCTGCAAAAGCTGAGAAATGGTAGCGCTAAGGATGTGTAAGTGACCCTGATTTGAGCTCTGGTGCAGAAACATTTTGATGCATTTTTAGTTCTGTGATCTTAAAACCATTTTCTCCGTGGAGCCCCATCTATTTCTGTGGACATTGATAAATACTGCTCTGGAGGAGCACCAGAGTTGCACGGGGAATGCGGCTGTCATGTAGATGACCCCTGCCGCGGGTGTTGCTGATGGGCAAGGGGTGCAGGGAATGAGGGAAGGAGAAATTGCTGGAGGAAAAGGAGTATTTGCATGGAAGGTGGATGAATGCCGAGGTCTGTTTCCGCTATTGGTATTTCCTCATCTCACAAGGTTTCACTGAGATAAATCAGGACCATGCAGCAGGGAGTTCTTTCGTAATGAGCACGATCATGAAACACGTGAAGAAACTGGTTGCTCTATCCCCAGAGCAGGGTTAATAACATGCAATAAATAAGGTTTGAGGCCACGATCGGTTTATTGAACAGCTGCTCATTAGTTGAGCATTGCCCTACCTGTTGCATGGAGTTAGGCTGGAGCTCTGCAGAAAAAATGTATCCTAACCTTGCAACTGAGTATACCGTGGGAAGCTGCCCAAGAAGCTGAGTTTAAGTTGCTCAAATACCCCTAGTTTGCTTTTTTCTAACTTTTGAGTACTTGACTCTGCAGGTTTTATACTGTTTTTAAAGGGTTGTTCTTCTGGTTTGCTCCTATTGAGTTTCTTTCCTTTTCTAAGAAAACTGGAACAAAACCCACCTCAATCTTTCTAAAATACTGGAACCAACTGATCGCTGGTGGGTTTGAAATACTGCAGATGTTTCTCTTTCTGGAGAAATGGTTAACAATTAAAGTTGTGTGAAGATTGAATAATTTTTTGGTTTTAAAAAAGACAGAAGCTTCAGATTGTCCCCTTAAATATTTGCAACTTACAACTTACTTCCATTGGGGTCAAATGCTGGTGGATCCTGACAGAAGCACCAAAAGGTGTGTTCTTCACAGAGAGTCCTGATACGTTTCTGTGCTTTGAGCGTATTGAAGGAAAGTAGTTTTCCAGAGCTTTATTTTCAGAAACAGCTGAAATACCGGGACTAACTTTTCCGAAGAAAACCATTTCAAACTCCCATGCAGGATATTGACCCAAATGGTTAACCTTTAGCAAGATCCAAACCACTGACAGCAGTCTTATTAATATTGCATAATAAATGGTGCCGTGGCAGTAAAATGTGATAAACTTGGTATTTTTAAGGCGTTCCAAACCTTGCTCTCTTTGGTAGGGATAGTGAGGGAGGTGTCACTACCATGTTTACTAATAAGTGGTTTGATTTGATCCGAGTCTTGTGTGGGTTAGCTCCGGCCCCTGCGCTCGCAGAAAACTGAGAACCGGGCAATGGGTCTGCGTAAAATTTCTGCTGTCAACTGGAGAAAAGGAGCAGGGAGGGAGGTTTAGGCAGAGGAAACCATGGGGTGAGGGGCAGCTCCCGCTTTCCTCGCTCACTAAGACAATTAACAGACTTTTTCTTATAATAATAAAAACTATTAATAAAGTTTTCTTGCTTCCAAACAGGTATTTTTTGCATCGGTGAGGTCCGGAGGAAGCAGCCAAGTGTTTTTCATGACCCTCAACAGAAACTCCATGATGAACTGGTAACAGAGGAGCATTTGGCACTCACCGCCATGGCATTATTTCTAATTTAAAGGACATTAAACACATGGACTAACACTGTAGAGGCAGATGCGGAGGGCCCCAAGGAACACCGCTCCCCACACTCCCCCGGTGCCGTCAGCCCTGGGGCAGGGGCTGCGGGCAGGGATGGACTTTCATGCTTGGACCCCGCAAGGTCTCCTGATTACGCTGTGTTATAGTGGGTTATAAGTTTTCCTTTTCTTTTTTTTTTTTTTATTTTACTTTTTCTTTGTCCCCTACTTTGTAAGAACGGGGAAAGAAACTGTGTCAAAAAGTCTGTTTTTAATTCTGTCTGCCTGCTAGCATCAAATATATAGTATGTTGTAAAGTTACCAATTAAATCTGGTGAGAGACAGCACAATAAATGTACCTTTTATCTTTGTGATGAAGGCCATAACCGTATAGCTGGGTAATTTTAGAAATCTTTTGCCTTCACCAACATTTACATGTTGCTTTTGGCAGCAACGGCTTAACGGATTTTTAAAGAAGAGAAAAAATAATAGGTTTTTTTCCCCTCTTTTGGGAAATGGATTTTAAATGGCTAAACTACTAAGTTTCTAGGATGTTTTTTTTTTTTTTTTTTTTTTTTTTTTTTTTTTTATAAGTTTTCCTTTTCTTTTTTTTTTTTTTATTTTACTTTTTCTTTGTCCCCTACTTTGTAAGAACGGGGAAAGAAACTGTGTCAAAAAGTCTGTTTTTAATTCTGTCTGCCTGCTAGCATCAAATATATAGTATGTTGTAAAGTTACCAATTAAATCTGGTGAGAGACAGCACAATAAATGTACCTTTTATCTTTGTGATGAAGGCCATAACCGTATAGCTGGGTAATTTTAGAAATCTTTTGCCTTCACCAACATTTACATGTTGCTTTTGGCAGCAACGGCTTAACGGATTTTTAAAGAAGAGAAAAAATAATAGGTTTTTTTCCCCTCTTTTGGGAAATGGATTTTAAATGGCTAAACTACTAGCCTTAGACTAATAAAAATCAGCTACCATTTTTGTCAAGTCTGTCAATCCATATTTCTATATGGATCTTCACATAATGGTGTGTCTTGATAGGGACAGAGGTGCCATTTGTTGTTGCTCCGGAGGTGCCCGCCTGCCCCGGGGCTTGGCTGTGGGTGCCGGGACAGGGGATCAGAGGAGGAGAGGACGGCCGAGCG